AATGATTTTACTTGATACCTGTAAACAGAAAAATGGCTGTTCAGCACTGCATGGACCTTGATAGATGTTTTTGGCTTAAAATTATTGCACAGGAGAAGCCATTGTTACACAAAGTGTGTTACACAAAGCTTGAATTAACAATAGGATGTTGGAAGTTCCTTTAGGAATACTCTGGTAGTGACTGGGGCACATTCTTTGAAGTGCTGTGTTGGAAGCAATTCTCTGTTTTTGATAAAGGTATTCTATTTGAAATGCTGTGAAACAATCATTACTCACTTAAGCCCCTTTGACCAATGAACCTGAAACCATCCTCAAGCATTAAATGTGCATTTTTCTTAGCATCCCTACTGTATCAGGGCAAGGATAATGTTGAGAAATTTTATTGCTGCTTATAAGCAGGGATAGCATTAGTCATCAGAGTCATTATTAAATTATATTGTTTGTTTAATGGACCTACAGTATATTTTGAATTGCCAAAAAATCAATTACGGTCTTTTTCTAGGAATTATAGGATAGGACCTACAAGCACACATAAATACAAATTTATGTGAGACTGTTCTAGTAGGAACCAGACTGAAGTCTGAATTGCTGTGATAATTGCTAATTGTATAAAGCCTTTCTTATTTCTAAGATCTGGAAGTTGGTGCTGTTGAAAGATGGTGCCACTGTGTCAGACATGTTTATACTTTGACCTTAAGTCAAAGCTTGAAGTTTGGCCAAAATGATGTTACACATAGGCAGTCATTACCTCACAGTTATTCCTTGTGTCTGCAAATTACTTCAGATATGATTATGAGGGTGTTTTTTTTTCCCCTAACATTAAGAATGACATTCAGTTATTTGAATGTGAATGCTTTGTGCCACTTTCATGCCCTTAGTTGCCCAAGGCACTTGCATAGCATTGACATTTACCATTTACAGAGAACTAAAGACCTGCATCTTTCTGGAATGGCAGAGGGAAACCAAGCAGGATAGGCCATGACATCCAAAATAGCATGTGGCATCTGTGATTAGGGATCAGAATCCTCCTGTTATCCTTTTGGTTATATTCTTTTTTTTTTTTTAGTGACTTTTCATTTCTGGTTTCCTGCAATACTCTCTAATAGCTGATGTTATTTGCCTTCCACACAATCCTGCAGATCCATAAGAGTTCAGCAGCATTCAGTTTCTTAAGAGACTGTTCCAGCTAATGCTCTGTTTAAAGATCTTACATGAATTGTACTTTCTGTAGTGTCTTTTGAATTCCATAACCATAGTTTCATATTAAATTGTGTATAATTCATATTGGATAATAATTATACATGTTCATGAATGACTAAAATATAAATGTTTTTTCAGAATATATACATACATTATTTCAATTTCCATTGAAATTAAAGAAAGTTGCTTGGCTTTCATAGGTTATTTCTTTTCTACTTGAAAGAATTACAACTAGGTTAACCTTCTCTATTCGAGTTTCCAGTATGCAAAAATGATTTAGTCTTCTGTATTTATCATGAGATAAGCTTCACATATATGAACCAGAGAATCTGAAACCTTATGCTTCCAGAGAATGTAGGGACAATAGACTAAATGATTATTAACTAAGTTATAAATATATGTTATTTACGTAGTCCTCTTGAAAGCAGAATTTTTGTATTTTGCAAGGATAAACTGTTTTGTATAGCTCAACAAAGAACAACAGTATGTGCCAGAATATCATGTACCTACTTGCTGTAAATCATACAGTAGAAATGTCTCAGTTGCTTACACTGAAACTAGATTTAAGACAGCACACAACTGGAGGGGATTGCGAAAGTAGTTCCAGTGTAATTTCAAAACAAAAAAATCTGAAATTACTTTTTATTTGGGAATGCAGCAGAAAATATAGAAAGTGATGGTGGCTGCTGAGGAATAAAGAAAAGTGTACCAGGGTCACTCACGTAGACAGCTTGCATTATGACAAAAAAGTAGAATAAAGTGATTTGCAAGATTAGTTTGTACCTAAAACTGTACGTTCTGGTAGGACAAAGTGTTTGCATATTGATATCAACAACTTTTCATTGAAAAACCATCTCTAGGCTTGATTTGGAAGGATATGTACAACCATGCTGTTTGTCTATGCTTTCAGCTTTCTGTCCATCTCTACCAATAACTGTGGGACTCAGCAGCTGATTTCAGCCAAATGTGACAGAAAAGGCAGTGATTTCAAAAGTATTAAGTCCAAATATGAAAATTAGCGGCTGTACAGGAATAAGGAAACTCAAATTAATGCTTCTGAAGGGCGAATGGGTAGAACATGAACCCAACAGTTGCATGGTCTGGCTGATCTGCCATCTGGCTGATCAGCACATGGAGTGGTTTCCATTTCCAGGACCAGTTCTCTGGCTTAGGCTGTAACTCTGTCCAGATCACAGCTGTAAAGTTCCCTGACCCTTTTTGTGTGCTTTTCAGCAACACGAACTTTCAGGGAAATAAGAAAACTAGGTTGTGAACTCTACATAAGCAAATGTTAATTTAATATTGAAAAAGAGTCCGTCTAGAAGGTAAAGTTTGAGATTCTGAGCAAAAAAGAATTGAAAGTTGTTAATTTTGGCTACATTTCTCAAGATTTCTGTAGTTTTTAGCAGTTGTCCCACAAGTTTTCCTCAACCACAGTAATTCAGATTTCATAGTGCTCAGTGACAGGAATACTGCTGCTTGGGAGTGGGCTGTAAATCTTGGGTGTCTGTAGTAATTCCCAAGGGAATAGCATATGTCACCACAAATGAAGTGTGAAGCTTTACTGTCTCATATACATTGGAGAGAAAAGTCATGTAGTAAAGACTCAACAGCTTGGTAAATCTCCACCTGAAAGAATGTAGTTTGCTTGAAGGACTCCAGGCAGACCAATGGCTTCCAGCTGGAATTGCACGTATGTGTGGGTTTTTTGTTGGATAGTTATATTAGCATAAGCATTGGGTTTGTTTCCTGTGAAGGTCTGAATAGGGAAACAGTTTTAGAGCTTGGCAAATCAATAATCCCCACACAGAATATTACTGGAGATTTATAGCTGTAATGTTTAGCTTTTCTTAATTTCCACAGTTTTCTCTCTTCACCATCAGTCTACTCATCTCCCCACATTCTAGTAACAGAGATACACTAGCCTTCTTAAGGTTTTTTTTCCCCATCATAAACTCTTTGATGTTCTCTGATTCAGCTATTTAGTTTTTTAATAAATTACAGCCTTTTGTTGTTGGTGTTTTTTTCTCTTGATACATAAAGTTTTGGTGAAATGTCAGCTTTACTTGTGTTATCCACACAGCCTGTGTCCAAGGTTTCCAGCCAAAATGAGGTAGATTAAAATTAGCCTTCAAATGAGTGTGCAGAAGTCAGTGTGTCATTCCTTCTTCTCTTGAAAATTCAGGACTTCCCTGATGGCCAGAGCCAGAAAGTCGATAACCACTCATCAGCAGAGTTCATGGCCCCAGACTTTCATGTAGCAGAACATTTTGCCCACGCAGCACCACATGGCTTCACCAGGACTCTGCAGGGAGGAACATGTGCTTCTGAGCAAAGGCTGCTACGAATGGCACTAATCCTTCATGATTCATGTCTACCCACAGGATGTACTTGTGGAGAAAAGGCTGCCAAACTGGAATTTCGAGTCATACGCGGTTCAGGGAGGATCTGCCTTTCTTCTGATTTCTGCAAAGCATCCAGAATATTCCCATCCCACACAGATGTTTCATTATTTTATATTACAACACATTAAGGAAATACCACCTGAAGGCCAGGAACAATTTAAGCTGTATTGTGCTGGCATGAGTAAAAATTGCGGGAAGCAACAGTCATGGCCCCCAAAGGACTGTTATCAGAAAGACAGCATGGACCATATGGAAGAGATGGGCAGAAGTAAGAGGTACTGAGGGGAAAGGGAGGCAAGTAACTACTAATGAGATAAATGCAAGCATGAGGCTAATATCAGGTGTGGAATAGTTCCAATTAAAGATAGCATTTGTTCAATAACAAACATTATTATTTTGGTGAACTGCTATCTCCAAGAGGACAAGCGTGGTGGAGTGAGGATATCTGTTTTCATGTGCATTATTGAGATTCCGTATGCATGGAAATGCTTTTGATTTCCTCCAAATGCGGTTGAAACAAAGAGCTTCCAACTACTTCAGAGCCAGATGAAAGTGTCACGAGGAAGCTTAATTTTTCAAGATGTGTTACGAATATACATGATCTAAGTTGTATCCCAATGCATTTATTAAATACCAAACTACTCTGTGCCCCCTTTTTCACCCATATCTTTTGCACTTCTTTCAATTTCTAGTTACATAAGCATATTAATTATGTATCCGTAATGATTCATAATTCAAGTACAAGTTGTTATTACAGTTACTACCTTCTCAAACCTTTATGTTACTGGTTGTGTCATAATTGTGGACAAATCCTGCACTCTGGGCTCATGCAAGCAGATCTACTAAATTTAGAGGTATCTTTTAATTAATTTTCATTCATATAATAATGACACATCAAACAGTGATGTTCAACTGAAAATTTTTCTGTCAATGTTAATTTCAGAAGTACCCATGAAAATACATTTTGTTTTCTCTGATTGTATTCCTTTTATGAAATGCTGAAGAGAGAACCGTAAAATTCACAGTAGTGAGGCTTTGAATTCTGTATCACTATTGGGCTATCATAGTCTACATTCTTTTGTACAAGATTCCCCTGCTGTCTGCAACCCAAGGGAAACAATCCATTGCAGGAAATATTTTAAATGGTCATGTAAACACAGAATAAAATATTGTTCATTTTATATACATTTTATATAAATTTTATAAATGTATTGATACTTGCACTTTCTGCATTTTTAAAAAATGCTCAGAACATCAAGAATTCTAGGGTTTAGTTTCTTCTTTTGAAGGATTACAAAAAGGCAATTATGCTGTCTCATTTAATTAAAAGTGAGTCCAGACCGTTTGATCTATCCCAAAGATCTTCCTGTATTGAAAATTGTAGGTAATACTTGTTCTCAGTATTTTGCTACGTTTTTGGGACATCCATTTTAAAGACTCTATTTCTTATTTACTAATTATTTAATAGGTTTGTCCACACGTGTAAGGTGCTTTTACAAGGTGTATTTTGATTCAAGAGGAAAGCTCTTACTATGGTAGTGTGAGTTTCTTTGACCAAGGCAGCAGTTGTTGGCCTCAGGGCACTCATTGAGCTGGAAGTAGAGAACAGGTTATGATTTAGGTGCATGAGAGGATGATATTTTGCATTTCTGTGTGCAGAATTTAGTTGGAGGTTCATTCTTTCCCCCCGCATTTCTCTTTTTCATACTCAGTTGTGGTGCTCTCAGTTTTAACTGCTGGCGTTTCATTCTTTCCTTCTGCAAAATAGTTACGACTGTCCTGTGTCATCTCTTAGTAAAATCTATCTTTTGGTGTCACTATCAGTTGCTGGATTATTTTTTGATCAAGCAAGTCATCTTTAGGAAGGATGAAATTTTATCCCAGTTTACCAAGATCAAACAAGGGGACACCTCATAATCTTAAATGAAAGTAGTTAACCTCACAATTATAAATACACATAACCTGCCTTCCCAGAAAGCAGGGAAGAACAGGAAAGAAGAGTAAGGACACCCTTCAGAGCTTAGTCCTTAACTTTCATCATAAAATCAGAACTGAAATGATGGAAATTTCCTAAGAACCTAAATATATTGAAATATTCCTTTGGTGATCCTGCAGAATCTACTTTTTATTGAAATAAATAATGTTACTAAATTATTTGAAGCATTCACTCAATTTGGGAGTTTTAAACAAGGCCATACAGGGCCAGGTTTTCTGCTTAACTAATCCTTCCTGTTCTCTAAGGCATAGCTTTTTATACTCAAATGTGCTGTTATCAAAGAGTCCTACTTGTTCTGGGTTTCTCCTAGTTGTCTGTGGAGCACATATGCATCTCTCTGAGGTTAAAAGTGTTAGTGACACTTGGAAATAGGGTACCCACTCAGCTAGAGCATTGTTCTGATCCTCAATATAGAAACTGAGGATCACTTTCTTGTTTTGTTCTGTTTGATTTCTCTTGACTGGAGTTTGAAAGTACTAGGGGAATTTTACCAGTGCCCTATTTCAAGGAAATCTTATTAATCACTTTCAGTCATACTGCACAGTTTCCTGCTGTGTATTGTTGCTGAAGAAGGAAATTCCAACCTTATATTTTCATTAATGATCACAGAAAGCTGGACTAGTACTGCTGGGAAACATTGAATTGAGAGGGGTTATATGAAGATTTTTTATAATGTGCACTACATTGTAAGAGAAAAGTTGTATCATGGTCCTATCCTGTCTACAATAAGGGTTATGCCATATGAAAGCACCAGCTAAAGCAGTTACCTACAGAGAATAGAAGCCTTAAGAAAGTACTATAGACATCTCTAGCTGTACCATAATATGCTGGGAACTTGCAAAATATAAGGAATCAAGCTCTCAACAGGTTCTTGTAAAGTTTGGCTTTTTTAAAGCAGGCTAATGAACAAAAAGCAAGGTACACCAACACCCTGAGAACATCCACTGTCTGGATGCTCTCTGCACTTCTATACATCAGTGTCTTCACCCTTTCTTATTCGCAGACTTAAAATTCGCAGACTTCACCCTTTCTTATTCGTACTCTTAAAAAAGAATTGCAAACCTTCTTGTGCAGAATTACATAAGAAAATACTTTAGGTAAAACTTTGCATTTTCATTTGCTGTTGGCATTTTTGCTGTTTTGTTTCTGTTCTTGTTTTGACAATGTGGGAATCATATTACCTTTTGGGGGTCTCTTTTCTGGGGTGTGTTGTGGACCAATAGTGGCCCAGAGACTACTGGGCCAGGCACCATGGGAATCCATGAGCCAAGCTAATGAGTCCGACCTCATAAAATGCTTCTTCCTCTTGAGTTAGAGGGTGAGATCCCTCAAAATCTTCTGAAAATATAGTTTAAACTTAGATGCCCAACATTACTTAGAATAGCTAACTTGCTCTCCTATTTGTCTAATTTACATGAAGGATAAGGATTTTACTTCTACTTATAGATAGTTATGTATTTGCAGTCTCCTGATGCGTTGCTCATATTGATATATGACATGAGTTGATTTTTGAAATGTATTTCAAATCCCATTACATTTGCAATATACTCTAAGTATAGCACTTAATGTAATGTTTCATAGTGATTCAGAATAGAGGTAAGTGACTCAGAACCAGGGAGAAGTAACTAAAGTATTTTGACTGCTCTTGAAGGCGTTTCTGTCATAAGGAGATACTGGGAAAGAATGAAAATATTGCATCAGTACAAATTAAGTCAGAGGAAGAAAATGGAGCACAGCAATGGACAGTATTGATACTCTGGATTGGATGGAAGATAAGAAGCCCGTAGAAGAGATAAAAGCTGGTGCTGGTGTGCTCCAACATGCTGTTTGGAAAAATATAAACAACAGCCTCAGGTATTTTAAAGAATTAAGACTTTAGAGATCAGTACCTGTGGAGCAATATTGAAAGAGAAAAGAATTAAAAGTTTCTTAGCAAAGACAGATATAACCCATTTGTTATAAATTTTTGCTGATTTTAAAGTTTATGTAGTATATATTAAGAACTTGTTTGACGTAAAGTGGGCTTTGTATCCTCACTTTGCGTTTGAAATATTGCATAAGCTACAATACTTTTAAATACTCTATCTGATGTAAGCACTGAAAGTTGTCTCCATTTTTTTATTTCCTCTTGATAAATAGCTTGCTTAGCTTGTTGACACAGGACTTTTTAATTGAAATCTAGTGGAAGCCTCTAAGAATTCTTACACCTTTATGATGTATGAAGTCTCACTTAATTGGTCTTGTGCTGTTTCCATTGTCTACTGAATTCAGTTTGCCTCCTGACTGAGTTTAATGAACTTACTGTCTGTAGGGAACAATATTAATGCCAAGCACTGCTCTGAGGCCCCAGGCAGGACTGGTGCAAGGTGCTGTGCAAACACACAGATGTCATCATAAGCCCCAGTGTTATTTTGCCACATGTATTACTTTAGTTTCACACATGCAGCAACTTCATCTGAAAAGTTTTTCTCTGAAACCACGTTGTGGTAGCATTACTGCTCAGCAGCAATAAGGGCCATCCCTTGAACCCTTATAGAGTTGGATTCAAGGGTCTGAATAGCTGGGACCATTAAAAACGTTATGTCAGGTCTGTCCATGTCCTCAAGTGGGAATTGTGCAGGAATAAGAGCAACAGGTCCTCCTCCATAGGCCTTGAAAGCTCGGCTTTCTTTCTTGAGTACAGGTGGTAGACTTACTTTTTCTGCATCACCTGGTTGACTCCTGTATTATTGCATGGGTCACCGTGCTGGGTGATGAAGGGGACAGGAAAAATATCCTCCTAATATTAAGCAGATATTAAGGTCTTGATAGACCTGTCATTCTCCAGTTTAATAAAAGCCTAAGGCATAGAAGTGCTGGGAAGGAAAAGCCATTTCTCTATACACATCTACTTCAATGGGGAAAGAGGAATTTTACACAGTGGTAACAGGTATTTTACAGCTGTGTAATGCCTGTTCACACCAGCTGGGAGTGTCTGATCCAGTCATGTGGGACCCCACAGCCTGGCATGGCACCATGGTGCTGGGATGGCACAGACTCACAGTCAGACAGTTATTGCAGAGGCCAATGTGGACCTGAACAACTGCTCTGGTGCCAGACAGTGGTGATGACGTTCTGTCTGTAGTTCTCTAGATGTATGATCGATAAACAAAAGAGCTTGTAGGTTCTAATTAGGAAAATGCAAAGATGGAATTGATGTGCAGGCAGAATTAATTTTCATTAATTTAAATTAATTCTTTAAATTTTAAATTAATTAATTTTAATACAATTGTTTCTATTAGGAGGTCTGACTGCTGCAGTCAATCATTGTGATCACCTCTGCAACACAGTTGCAGGAAGAAATACTCTTCCAAGATTACTGTATGAAAATTGGCCTGTCAGTCTTTCTATTCCTGTTTCTAATTTTATCACTGATTATTACAGTTGCCTTTGTAATACCATTTGTTCATCTTGGACCTTCTTTCACTTTTTCCTCTAAAAAACTCTGTGGAGTAGCTTTTAGTTCACAGGGATGAAGTAGGTTAAGCTTTACCAAGTAAAGTGTTTAGAAATTACTGCATGAAAACTGGTTATCAGTGCAGGGTATTGTTGAACTACTTCACTGCCAAATGACTCATCCCAAGAAGTTAAAGATAGAGTTCCGATGGGTTTTTGTTGTTCAGTTGTATTGTGACTCCAGAATTACATTATCACAGCTCCATGGGCAGCTCAAATGCCATGTTGCCCCACTCTAAGAAGGACTTGACAAGCGTTTTCCTGCTCGATGGTCTCCAGGCATTTGGGTTGTTTTTATCTGGGGCAGAGGTTCTCAAGAGACTTTTCACTTGAGCAGGAGGGAATTGATATAATGGAAAAGACTTTTCCGTGTTGTTATGCGGGAAAAAATTCCTCAAACTCTGGTCTTACACTAAGAAATGCATTTTGTGATTTTTGTAACTGCAGCTGGAAGCTTTACAGCGAGCACACACTGAGTGTGTGTTTCTGCTTTCCTGCCTCAAGTGAGTTTGAAATACTCCCAGTTATTTGCCTCTCAATCAGATTTATTTCCTCATTCAGGCTAAGCAGTTCCAGTGTGCTCTGCAGTCAGACACACTGAACAGTCACTGTAAGTTATGTATCCACTTCTTCAGTTTTGGTTCAGATACTTCTGGTTGTTTCTTGGTTTTGTTTTGTTGAGGCTGATGAGAAGAAAGCAATGGAAAACAGAGGAGAGAAATGTCTGTATGAATCTCCACAATGACTTCTGTCATTTTGGTTTTGCTTGTCTGAGGTCAGGCTGTGACATTTAAGCCTTTTTGGTTTAGAGAGGAGTATTAAAACCCATCAGTGAGTGTTTTCTCACTTGACACCAGCACAAAGTTAGCACAAGCTGCATGTGACAGGAGGAAAGATCAATTCAGTGTTTCCCTGCCCTTACGTCCTCCATTTGATTACGATACCAAATCCCCACATTCACAGAATTTTGGTGTCACCCACATCCTAGAGTTTTCCATGCCTATAAAGGCCTAGGGGCAGTCAGAAGGGAAGCACTATGTGTTGGGACCTGAGCGAGATCATGCCTGTGTGAAACAGGGCCAGCGGTTCTCCACAGAGGGA